GTGGGGAGAAAGGTGTTGGTCACAAAGGCACTTGGAAGTGCTGCTGGCAGCAGCTCAGTGTGAGCCAACGGTGTGCACAGGTGGCCAAGAAGGCCAAGGGCATCTTGGCCTGGCTCAAGAGCAGGGTGGCGGGCAGTGATGATCCACCTGGACTCGGCACTGCAGAGGTCACACCTCAGTGCTGTGTTCAGGTTTGGGCCCCTCACTGCAAAAAGGCCGTTGAGGTACTGGAATGAGTCCAGCCAAGGGCAACAAGGGCAGAAAAGGGCTAGAGCACATGAGAAAGGGCTGAGGGAGGTGGGTTTGGTTAGCCTTGAGAAGAGGCTTAGGGTGACCTGATGGCTCCCTCCAGCTTCCTGAAAGGAGGTTGTAGAGAGATGAGGGAAGGTCTCTCCTGCCGTGGCTCCAGCAGGAGGACTAGAGGGAATGGACTTGAGCTGAAACAGGGGAGAGTCAGAGGAGATGTTAGGAGAAACATTTTCTTTCTTAGGGTGTTCAGGCACTGGAATAGATTGCCCAGGGAGGTGGTGGAGTCACCATCTCTGGAAGTGTTTATGAGGCGTTTGGATCTGGTGCTGGAGGATATGGTTTAGGGGTTACAACATGTTAGGAGGTTAATGGTTCGACTTGATGATCTTTGAGGTCTCCTCCAACCTTGATGCTTCTATGATCTATCTATAAATTTGGGTTTCAGAGAGCAGTGTTTTTCAATATTGTGAAACTGTGTTTTATTCTTGCCAAAAAAGACATTTTTGCTAGCTGTTTCTGTGACGGGCAAAGCTTCTTAAACTTTCTGTATGCTTTTCATTGTCACAGGGTCACATTAATTTTTGGAATAGATGTTGCAGTCTGGCGTCAATAGATACTAAATACTAGTATTTAGTTATTTTTATTAAGTAAAAAATATATCCAGTCTCACTATGATATTCAAAATTGCACTAAAGATCAGATTTTTCTTGGGTTGACTTCTTCTGTTCTGCATCTGTCACTTGACTGTGTTTTTTAGTACTATTACAAGAAAATATAGACAGGTTTTTCGTTTCTTTTTGGAAATAAAACCTAAACTGAAATATGCAAAATTCAGAGATGTTCTGACCATTAAAAAATTAATCTCTATTGTCAATTTGTTACAGTCTTACTTTATTTTTCATTTTGTGTAATCTTTCCTACAGATCTGATGTGATTGCTGGCTAGTATAATTACTGCCTTTTTGAAAATATGAGTGTTTGTAGAGTCTAAATTATGTCATTTTCCTTTAAAGACAACCGTGGTGGGAACAGGATGAAAGAAAAGTGTTTCCAAATTAGCAGTATAGGTGTGCACCCTTAAAATCTGCAGTTCTTCTGACAGAATGCCAGCTGTGAAGGTACAAAATTCAGAGGCTCTGAAGATCCTTTTCAAAAACTCTTCATTACTCAAATGCAGAATTAAGCAGATATGTAACTAGAGGAATGTTTTAGGGAAATAAAGTATATCAGTGGTTGGTGTTGTTCCTGCTTCTAATTTCTTTCCTCAAATAGTATCAATATCCCTCTTCCCTGGGTTAGTAGTATTTTTCTAATTCAATAGAATTTCAAAGACAAATGCCACTCTCTTAATGCCAAAACTTGTCACATAAAGGATTGCTTACAGTAGACTGGCAGACAACAGACCAAAGAGGAGAAAGGTTAGCTGCTGCAGCATTCTTTTGGCTCTGTAAACAGCAGAGTGCCTCAACTCCCACTGGCTCTGCAAATGTTAAGGCTATTCTGCACCTGTAAAATGTACTAAGTGTCTCAGACCTAAGCTTGGGAACCACTCGGCAGTGCCAGTATGTTACAGACTTGTTACCAGTATGTGGATTAAAAAATGCTGGTTTGGGACATTGATCCATTGCCATCCTTGTGAAAGTGCCACTCCCACAGGTTTTCAGGTATATGACTCATAGTTTATTGATTTCATACAGCCTAAAGTCATCTCATGCACCTCAAAAATATGTTCCCAGTCCCTCTTTTCCAATCTTGCCTATGTATGATGATGCATTAAGGCCTACTTTTTCAAGCATGTTCCTTAACCTTTTTTTTAAACCTTCATTGAGAAGACAAACAGCTTTCTGACTGATAGTTTTGGATCCATGTGCTGTGTTCCACTGTGCTGATATTCTCCAAAATCTACACCCTCTAGAAATTAACAGGAATGTGACTCAAGCTTTCTTCTCAAGCTTAGAACACAAAAAGGTCCAGAAAAATAAGGGAAGGTGTAATGTCTACAGTAATTTAATGTAGTCTTCAGCAGACATTTTATAGAGTTGAGAATCTGAAGTTTTACAGAGAAATTATAGAGGGCCCTCACTCCTGGGATGTGTGAACTCAATTGCATTGGTTCTTTCCTAGACATTTGATCTCTCTTCCACCCATTTTATGTGCCTGCCCATGATACTACTGTTTTGTGTTTAATGTTCTGCTGAAGAGTGAGTAAGCATCCCCTAAGTTTACATCTTTTTGCTAGTAACAAATTTCTATCAACAATTGCAGTTGTTTTTAATGATGGCAAGTTTCTTTTCAGGTGATGCAGATGTACCTCCCATTCTGTGGGATTGCCATATCCAATGCCCAGCTATTTGCAGCTTCAAGGAAAGAATATGACAGAAGCAGGGTAAGTAAGATATGTGTAGTGGACCAATACCAAACTTTCATCTTTTGTTCCTTCAGGTTCCAGCTATGTGTATGTGTTTGCTAAGTAGACAGTTTTAACTAAGTTTGATTTCAAAAGTTGTATTTTCAGCAGATCACTGTCTTGACTGAGACAGCAAGCAGAGAGCGTGGGAGGGAAATACGCTGGTGGTGGTGGCTGTTGTTTCCTGATGTCAGTTCCATGTTTTGTAGTGCTGAGACAATTGCATTTCTGACACAGTGCAGGAGTGTTACTTTGGCAGAGATTCAAGCTCTCATAAAATTCTAGTAATATCAAGCCTTTGCCATCCTGAATTTGTAATATTCAGTTCATGTGCAAATAATGTGGGTATAACTTTATAGAAGTAAACAAGAAAAAAACAACCCTATATGTGAAGGGTTTTGACAGCATGTGTCTGCATAGATACATTACTCATGATTGCTGGTGCTGAGCATGAGTTGGGACAGAAGGCTCCAAAGTAAAAATAATGCTGTGGTCCCCTGTCATTTACTTGTCAGAGAGGTCTTTTTTTCCAAGGGAAAAAATGTTAATTTTGAGGGTTTTTTTAAAAAATAATCATAGAATCATCAAGTTTAAAGGAGACCTCCAAGATCATCAAGTCCAACTGTTAACCTATCCCTCCCTAAACCCTCCAGCACCATATTCAGACATCTCTTACACACTTCTAGGGATGGTGACTCCATCACCTCCCTGGGAAGTCTATTCTAGTGCCTGAACACCCTAACAGTGAAAGTTTTTTTCCTAATATCTAATTTGAACGTCCCCTGTCTCATCTTGAAGCCATTCCCTCTAGTCCTGTCCCTGCAGGCATGGCAGGAGAGACTATCCCCCACCCCTCTACAACCCTTTCTCAGGTAGTTGTAGAGAGTGATGAGGTCACCCCTGAGCTGCCTCTTCTCAAAACTAAATGAACCCAATTGCTTCAGCTATTCCTCATATGACGTGTTCTAGATCTTTTCTGAGCCTCGCTGCCCGTTGCTGGACTCACGCCAGCACCTCAATGTCCATTATAAAGTGAGGGACCCAAAACTGAACACAGTACTCGAAGTGTGGCCTCACCAATGCCACGTACAGGGGGATGATGACTTCCCTAGTCCTGCTGGCCACATTATTCTTTATACACTCAACTTATTGTTGTCTGCAAATTTCCTGAGGGTGCACTCAATCCCCACATCTAGATCATCAATAAAGGTGTTAAACAGGACCTGCCCCAATGCTGAGTCCCTGGGAACACCACCAGTGACTGGCTGCCAAGCGGATTTAGCTCCGTTAACTCTCTGAGTCCAGCCATCCAGCCAGTTTTTTACCCATCAAAGCCACGAGCAGCCAGTTTTTCTATAAGTATGTTGCAGGAGATGGTGTCAAATGCCTTATTGAAATCCAGACAGAGCACATCCACAGCCTTCCCTTATCTGCTAAATGGGTCACTTTGTCATAGAAGGAGAACAAGTTGGTTAAGCAGGACCTTCCTCTCATAAATCCATGTTGATTGGACTTGATCCCCTAGTTGCCCTGTATGTGCCGCATGATGGCACTCAGGATGATCTGCTCCATGACCTTGCCCGGAACCAAGGTTAGGCTAACAGGCTTGTAGTTCCCTAGATCTCCTTCCAACCCTTCTTATAGACGGGTGTCACATTTGCAAATTTTCAGTCAGCTGGAACTTCTCCAGTTATCCAGGATTGCTGGGAAATTATTTCAGGTGGTTTAGTGAGTTCTTTTGACAGTTCCCTCATTACCCTGGGCCCATGGACTTGTGAGTGTCCAATTGGCATAGCAGGTCATTAACCATCTCCTCCTGGATTACGGGGGCTTCACTCATCTCCCCATCAACAACTTCCAGCTGTAGGAGTTGGGTGTCCTGAGAACAATCAGTCTTGACATTAAAGACAGAGGCAAAGAAGGCATTGAGTACCTCTGCCTTGTCCTCATCCCATGTCACTATACTACCTTCTGCATTTATCAACTGATGGACACCCACCCTCCTTTTGCTCTCAATGTATTTATCAACACTTTTTTTATCATCTTTGACTTTAATGGCCAAATCAAGTTCTAGTTGGCCTTTGACCCTTCTAATCTTCCCCTACATGACCTCTTGGGATCCTTATAGTCTTCCCAACTTGCCAGGCTGGCTTTTCTTTTTCACCTTTCCTGCAATGACAGGAAGTTATACTTTACTTAGCATGGATCACAGCTCCAAGGCTTTGGTAGATATACCTCTGGTACTGTTGAACCTACTCTTCCTTCACAAAATAGAAGAAACTACAGTGGTCTGGGTCTGTATATTGAACTCTGACATTTTTATATTCAGGAATTTGATGCTTTCCATGTACAAAACTAAAAATATCAATGAGTCACTTAAATATCAAGCCCAGAGATGATGCCTCCTTTGCAATGCTCCATGTATTTATTAATTTTACAACTAATACAAGAGTTTTCTGTCCTTGTATACAGGCTTTACTGGAGGTAGTGAATGACCTCTTTGAGGAACAGACTGACTTAGAGAAAATCGTCAAGAAAATTATGCATCGGGCCCAGACTCTGCTGAAATGTGAACGGTGCTCAGTATTACTTCTGGAAGATATTGAATCACCAGTAAGTATAGCTGCACATTCTGTAGAAAGACTAATATTTGAGTGGTGGAGCAGTTGCTTGTATTGTGGTGAAGCTGTTGTATATCACATTAAGTATTGGACAACAAGTATTCTTCCAGCATGTTGTTCCTACATGTAAGTTAGGTCCAGGTTGAATCTTTGTCAACACCACTGTTGTGTTTTAATCCCAGTAGGCAGCTAAGCCCTACACAGCACAGTAGGATGTGAAAGGGAACTAGGAGGCTAAATTGTGAAAGCTTGTGGTTGAGATAAAGACAATTCAGTAGGTAAAGCAAATGCTGTATGCACAAGCAAAGCAAACTAAATAATTCATGTGATCCTTTCAATCGGCAGATGATCTGTCACTTCTATGGAAGCAGGGCTGCATCATGTGCCATGGTTCCTTCCCCCAGCTTTTGTTACTGAGCACAACATCGAATGACTTCTTAGTATGGGATATCCCTTTAATCAGTTGGAATCAGCTGTCCAGGCTGAGTCCCCTCCCAATCTATTGTGCACCCCTCAGTCTATTCACTGGGGTGGCAGAGTGAGAAACAGAGAAGGCCTTGACACTCTGTAAGGACTGTTCAGCAGTAAAACATTCCTGTTTTCATCACAAAACCAAAACATACCACCATTACAGACTAATATGAAGAAAATTATTGCCGTCTCAGCCAAAACCAGTGTAGTCACTTTTTCAAATGGAAACTGAAAGATGTGGTCTGCTTAAAAATGAAAAATGACCATATTGCTATCAAGTATTTATTTGCTCACTTCCTTTCTGTCGTGGTATAGCTACAAGAAGGAAAGAAAAATCTTGTCTGACGCTTCTTTTACATTTATCTGGAATTTATTACCTTGCTAACATGTTCAGGCTATTGACTTACCAATTGCATGGAGCAGTTTCAGAACCAGAAACAGTTGCATCATCAATCAAATCTTTAATGCTCACTTTCGGAACTAACCTTTTCTGCATACATTCCAAAAAAGAATTATCAGATCTCATGCTTTTGCATCTGTTATCACTGTTTAACTGTAAAAAGCTGAAAGACATCATGTCTGTTCCCGTATGTAAACATGTTACACCTTCAATCAGACTGCTGGTCACTGAGAAAGAACAGCTAAAAATAAACTCAAGACTGACCATCCTGTATGTTCAGCAACTCATAGGGCTTAACAGTCACAGTAATTAGCTTCTCAACTTGTCTCAATAATGTTTTTTTGTGAAATCCAGTTCCTTAATGTAGAAGAACAGCAAGACAGTGAGGGCTGAACCTGCAATATGGGGAGTTTTCTCAGCTACTTTTGGTGGCCACTACTCCATGGGATTTGTTCCTTCTAGGAAGTTTTCCCTCACTTTAGCTGTTGGCAAAGGTCTGTTTGGGAATAGCTATGTTTGCACATTTTAACAAGTTCCTTTATTACTTTGCAACATAAGTAACAAGAGCCAGTTCCTAAATAATGAAGATGCTTTAGAAAGGTAAGGCCTCTTGGTAGTTTACCTTAGTAATTCCCTGTGGTAAAAGAATATCCATTGGAAAAGATACATTTGCATACAAATGCTTAAGTAGTCAGATACTTGTTCTTGTGATAGGAATAAGTTTTACATTGAGCAGGTGAAATGAAAACACAGCTTTCAGCTTTATTGAAGAATGTTTGTTTTTTGCAGTTGCTCTGTCCACTTGACCAATTATTTCATTGCAGAGGTCTGTTAAGTTGAACAGATGGATGTAAGCTATATGAAAGTATTTGTCAAGAATTGGGTTTCACACAGTTTCGACAGGGGCTTTCACTGGGGCTTTGCAGTACTGGTATTTGTAGGCTATGAGAATCTCTTTGAAAATTTTAACGCTTTTTAGAGTATTATTATTAGTAATAAAATAACTGGCTGCCTTTATATTGGTATCTACCTTCAGTGTTTTCAGACTATTCAACGGAAACTACCTTCCTTTCTACTGACTTGAGAAGCAGTTGAAGGATAAAAACATTGCTTGTAATGTCATTCTTTCTTCTACCCAAGTATTATTGGATTCACTGACTCTATAGCTGATTATTTCTTGCTGGGCTGTGACAAGTCTAAATGATTATCAGAGACAGAATCATAAGTTTGTTTGTACGACAGAAAAAGAAAGCCCATTCTTTTCCTTAGAGGAAAGATATGGTTCTCGTTTCATTTAAGTTAAAAGAAATTAAGTACTTCCAGTGGAGTATGTCCTAAATTACTGCAGCTTTCATAAAAGCAGGATCAAGGTTTGTCTTTCACTTATCTATTCTCTGCTGTAGAATTTTAATGTTTCTAGTTCATTTTCTCTATCTAGACCCCCCCTACTGATTTTATAATCACAAGATACAGTTCTACTACATTCTTGTGAAATGTCACTATCTTTGCAAGTATAATGTGAATTTTATTTTTCACAGAACAGTACATTGTGTTAGTAGCAGGTTGTGGGTGGCTTTGTTCAGTTCATTTTTCTGCTCTTGGTACTATTTCTACTTTGAACTTGGAGAGTTTTTTCCCAAACCACAAACAATGAGTTCTCATTCCTCTAGACTAAATTGTGAAATGTGGACAAAATGCCTAAGCTTCTTCTAAATCGTCATAAATCTTAGGTTAATTTGGAGTAGGAGAAAAGTGTCTTGCCACTCACTTGGTAATTTTTACAGGTGGCAAAACAGTTGTTTTTCTAGGTTTCCCCTGTTTTGGAAGGTTGACCTATCTATTAAAATAAATCTCCATACAGTGACTCAATGTTAAACCATGTCTAAAATATTGTTATTTGTACCTTGTGCAAAAAAACTTTGATGATACAGAACCAAAGCAGAAGATGGGGACATGTCCAAAAACACGACCTGTGTTCTGTGTAATGTTAGCCACTCTGAAAATGTTCCACTGATGTGCTGTTGGCACACATGTTCAAGGGTAATTAGTTGCAATTAGTAAGGCCAATGGGTCTTTCTGATTATTTTCCTACATTAAAAAAGAGAGGTTTGGGTAAAGCTCCATAATTCATGTTCCAAAAACCTTAAAAGGGAAGCATATATTGGTGTGTAGAAAATAATTTCATGAAAGAATCTAAAGACGTAATTTGATTTGATATTGTTTGTTAGTGAACTGTGCACAGTGTGTATTTTGAACATGAATTCTCCATTGTGGGAATATAAATTGTATTTTAATTCTTAGACCACTGGATAAAAATACAGTTTAAATATAGGAACCTTACATTACTGTTTTCTTAGATATTTATTCATCTTAATAACAATCTTAAGGGTTTTTTTTTGTGACAGGTGGTGAAATTTACAAAATCCTTTGAGTTGTTGTCTCCAAAATGCAGTGCTGATACTGACAACAGGTTAGTGCTCATGTCTTCTGTGGCAATGTATTGCTTAATTTTTCACATAGTTTTAAATTCTGCTTGATCAAGGTTTTATTCTCTTGTGGAACTTTGGGTAGGTTTGATTGAAGAATGTGAGTCTACAGTTTTTACTCAGACAAGACTTCGGTTTGCTTCAAATAGAGACTTTCTTGAATAAATACATGTGCTTACATTTTATTATATATGTGTGTGTGTATATATATATATGTGCTAACATTGTATCAGGTAAGAAACCAGGAAATAACTGATGACTTTTTATTGTTGAACTTGTGGATAACCTACAAATGTTGTTTTGCTTAATGAATATGGAAGTAAAAACTGCAAAATTATTTTAGATAGTTTGTTGATCTCTTACAAAATGCCTCTTTACAGTTGTGTTAAAAGGTTTCCAGTAAAATTTGTCAAGTTGGAAAGCCTAGGAACCTCAGAGAGCATGTATTTCTCAGAAACTGTGTTCCTGTGTCTCAATCTTGTTTGGGGGCCCAGTCAAAATGGAAGTATGTTTTCCTAAGCAGGATCTGTATTTAAACTTTTATAAAGGGCTAATTTTAAATAGTAAGAGAAAGAGCTTTTTCTTCATATGGGGGTGCTATATTAATTCCTACAAGATTATACCACTGGTAACAGTTCACATAAAATGTCCTACATGCCAAATGAGGGGATGAAGATTCAGGGCTATTGTGAGAAGATTTCTCCCATCTTTCAGGGCTTAGTATGTGAATACACATTTTTAGGCAAATTAATTCATACTTATTCTGAATTAGAATTTTCTATATCAAATGGCTGTCATAATGATAAACCATTTCATGGATTAATCTCTCAGCATTAAAAAAATGGGTAGTGTTTTTTTAAGATGTACAAGCTGACAGCGAAGTCCAGGGCCACACAGAAAATGGGTAGAGGCTAGATCTCTTCCATGTCCTATCCACTAGTTGACAGATGGGAATGGTGAGACAAGTGGAAAACAAGTGCTAAAAAGTGGGAAGATTTAAATATGAGTAAATAATCTGTTGATTCATCTGGGAATCACAAGTTACTGCTCTTGACAAAGAGTTTCAGAGAGTGGCAGTTGGTCTTTCCTAGGGGGTGAAAATACATTTATTTTGTTCAGGCACAGGAGTATGAAAGAAGGGATGTGGTTGTTATTCTTGTTTTTCTCAAACTTGATCTGTAGCCAGATTAGTCAAAACAATGTAGAATGGTGTCAAGATAACCAAGCTGGCTCATTTCTTGTTACCATAGTTATATTAGCATGTTACCAAAAAGCAATTTCTAGTAGCCTGCTCTGCATATACTCAAGTCAAGATTATTTTAACTTCAGTCCAAGACGAATAAACACATGCAACCTGGTAGCTAGTCTTTATAAGATTTATAAAGGTATATTTCTGTGCATCTTAATATAAAGATCTATTGCTTTTTTCTTTGCTTTTTTTTTATCCGGGGAAAGTAAAGTTGGTTTTACAAAGACCAAGGTTAGACGGGCAGATATGATGTCACATTTGGATCTAGCACAGGCACAGCTTGAGTTATTCACACTATCATGGGAAAATAAAGGTTATTTAGGATACAGAACAATGCCGCAAGCCCTTGACATTTGAGCATTTTTCTAGTGAGTTTTGCCCTTTTCATTCTACATTCTGCAGCTGTAACTGATGTAAAGTCATGAGACTTTTCATGTGGAAAAAAAACGGCAAGTTGAGTTTCTTCATCATTACAACAGTTAAGATAAATATGATTTCTTTGAAATTTTAGTGGAAATCTGAAGAGATTGTAGGCTGAGATTTATCTGAATGAGAGAGAAGCTCCAAGGACAATATGACTTTTCATGTCCTAACATACTTTCACACACAGTTTTAGGAGTTCGCTTTTCTTTTACCTCCTTGCGTCTTCCTAACAGCAGCTCAGCTGTTTAATCTCTAAATATTCTAATGAATATTCATATCTGTTTTCTTTGCTATTGGTTGTAATGAAATACCTTGGAAGACCACACTTGCATTTCTCTGTTCAGTTTGCAGTTTTTCAAGATACACCATGATCAAGTTTGTTTATTATCCATAATGGCACACCGATGCTCCTGTTTTTGATAGTGAGTTTGCTCTTGAAGTATAGATTTGCCAAGTCTCCTAAACTTTCTCTCCCTTTGAAAAACTAATATCTAAATCTTAGAAGCCTTGAGGTTTCAGTTCTGATATATTCTGATACGTCTGACAAAGATGAGCCTGACGGAATGTGCTGGCCACTGTGTCTTTGCTGCACAAAAGAAGTCATTTTGGCAGATGAGATTACATTTTAGCAGGTGGTTGAGATTATAGTTCTCTAACCTGAGTATCAGTGGTAGTGGACAGGTCAACTGCCTGGGCCAGAGTATGGGCTGCATGGGAGAAAATATCTCTGCTCCTTTCCATTTGGGCTGGTACAGAGAAAGTGTTGAAATTCCTCTACTGCTGTTCCCCCACCATTGGTCCTGGGATGATGTGCACTCAGATGTCGCCTCATTCCCAGCAGTACTTTTACCCTTCTTAAGGCATCTTTCTGTTCTTCTGCTCCTAGTAGTTGAAAGGGTTCATGCCACTGTTTAGAGAGGATTGAGGATACCTGTGATTTTGGTTGCACCAGTTCCCCACTGTACTTTCTGCCATCCCTGTTGGGGAGGCTTTGGGGAAAGTAGGAAGGCAAGCATCTGCATAAGGGGATCCTGCAGCACTGCTCAGTGCTCTTGAGTTGGGTTTGCTCTCCTGCCTGGTGTGTGGTGCTCCTGCTAGCACCTAGGCCAGATGGGGTGGTGGCAGGCAGCTGCCTGCATCAGTCTAGCAGGAGACAGGACATTCCACAGTTTGGAGAAAATTGTTGGTTGTGATTTTTAGAGTAGCTTCTGAGTGTTCTGAGCTGCAGAGGATGGAGAGAAAGACAGCTGGCTGTGATTTGCACCAGAATTAATCACTAGTATTTCCTCCCAGTGAAAGCTGAGTGCCTCTTTTCCAGAGTGTAGTTGTAAAGCACTTGTTAGGAATGGAGACAACAGTAGAACCTACTTTTAAAACTTCTTCCAGAATTCTATCTTGTTTTGTTTACTTGAATTCATTTGCTGCTTAAAATGCTTGACAGCCATAGTGCAGTCCTGATTTACATATATTATAACAGTAATACCATCCAGATTTTTAAGGTATGAACTGGGAGTTATGTATTTGAAATTAGATTCTTGTCCTTACAAATATTTTGCTTCTCAAATATTGATGTCCTGAAATAAATTTTAAATTATAGATGTGAATTTTGTACTTAGTTAACAGACATTATAATTATGTAAACACTCCTGTCAAGGTATACACATAACATTTATTACAGTCATTCAAAATTCCTGTGCCAAATGAAACTTGATACACTCTATTGTGTAAATCATTATTGTTATATTTACAGTCTTTTAAAAATATCAAGTTTTCTTTCACGAGTGACATAGTTGACTTAGTCTTCAGAAAATCAATACTTTCACTATGATTGAGTCTTTCAAGGATTTTACTGTGCATCCTTCTTTCATTCATGTGCATTACTTTGAAGCTTCAAGCTATTGTAGTCTTCTCCATGGCTTCTCCATCACTTTTTCTAAGTAATGTTTCTCAGATGTTGAAAATTTATCAGTTTTCTTCTCAAAACTAAACCATGGATTTGTTTATTCATACATGAATAGCTGGACTTTGTCAATGAGTAGAGGGACTCTTTGTTAGGAACTGCAGTGACAGGACAAGGGATAATGGGTTCAAGTCGAAGGAGGGAAAATTTAGGTTAGGTATTAGGAAAAGGTTTTTTCCTGTGAGGGTGGTGAGACACTGGCACAGGTTGCCCAGGGAAGCAGCTGCTGCCCCAACCCTGGCAGTGTTCAAAGCCAGGCTGGATGAGGCCTTGAGCAACCTGGTCTGGTGGGAGGTGTCCCTGCCCATGGCAGGGGGTTGGGACTAGATGATCTGTAAGGTCCATTCCAACCCCTTAACATTCTATGAATCTATGAATGTCAAAAACGTGTCTGCAACAGCTCAATGAGAACTTTCCTGCTG